CACCAAATCAAAGGACTCGATCAGACCCGAGGCCCTGTCGAAAGTGCTGTCACTATGAAAGCCTCCAATGATGTAAAGAGTGGAGCCTTTATTTACAATCCCCGCGTGATATCGAGGGGTCGGTATGTCTCCGACCACAGACCACGAGTCGCTGATTATGTCGTAACAGTCAATAGTATTGACCAGAACTCTGGTGCCATTCATGGGATCCTCAAACCAGCCGCCGATCACATAAATCTTATTGTTGTAGACAACCATTGAATGGTCGGCCCGTTCGCATAACATTGGGCTAAGACTGGAGTCCCACTCATCGGTAACAGTATTGTAACGAATCAGATCTTTGAGGACAATGTCCTGATCTAAACCTCCGGAAACAAAAATAAAATGATTGGAAGCAATGGCGGCGTGTTGTGACCGGTTGTTCATCGCAAGACTGGCCATTGGTGTCCATTCGTCCGCTTCGGGTGAATAGATCTCACCGGAAGTGTATAAGTCGTCGCCAATGATTGGGAATTCAGTTTCGGAAACGCCTCCAATTGCATAGAGATAATTGTCAACAGCTATGAGAGTGAACCGACACCTCTCCCTATGCATCGGTGCTATGGTTGACCACGGATTTGAAGAATTATTGTAAATAGGATTATATCGAAAGCCAAACGGATGGACATTCTCTTCTAGACTTTGATTAAAACAGCCGCCGATTACATAAAGTTGATTCTTATGGACAGCACATCCTATTAAAAATAAATGATAAGAATATACAGTATTAGCAAATGAATGGTATGTGACAATAATCAATTTCAATATCAAATTCAATAAAAATGTTAATTTAGTTTTCTGCTCGTTTCAAATGATTTTAAATTTAATATGTATAATTAAATATATAAGCAGGGTCAATATATACCGAAGTTGCACTGTTCCACGTGTGGAATTCGCGACAAGTATTTCCATTTCTTCTCGCTTTGCAAGTAATATGTGATTTCATTAGTGACACCAGAATTGTTGAAACCTTACATTCAATAATAGAAATATTTTTAAGAATTTGCTTTAATTACTATAATATTGAACAGTATATTGATTTATTGTAAAATTCACTATGTGTTTAGTAATACCGTATAATATTAATAGTTTGTTTTATAAATTGCTTTGAATTGTTACATTATATGCATGAATAAAAATAACCTTTTACTGGCAAAACGATATTTTCTATTAGCTAAAATATTGTATAATTATTTTTTCAATAAATGTCAAACAATTGTTAACTAAATTCTATTAAAATTAAATAATATTTTCTCAAATAATTTATATTCAATGTTTTTAGTGGAGAGAAAATCATTTAAAGTTACATAAAACGTGAAAATGTAGACAGATTTCAATGAATATTATTATCATACGGTACGATTCATACCTTATAATTAAAGTATATATTGTAATAATAAGAAAATACGGTAATAATCATTGTTAATAAAGTATATCATAACATAAACAATTGATTCGTGTTGTGTATTAATACGCTGAGAGCACTGACCCGTCAGGCAAATAGGGACAGACAATGCAATTATTAATTATTAATAGAATTATATAGGGTTTCATATAAAAGTGATACCGAAATATACAGCCATGTTGTTTTTAATCAATATTTTACCATGTTTAAAAAATTGCAATAATTCTAATTTGAAGTAGTATTTAACACAAATGTACAATAATTGTAAATTTCAATAAAACTTAATTCACTGTTCAATATCCGGGTGTTTGTTTAGGAATTTTATTCTAAAAATGCATTTTAATATAAATTAAATTTTTATTTAATCGCAGCAATGGTGGGTATAAATGCTAATCAAAAGCTTTAAATATTGGCAACAATTTTGGGTCAAATAAAAATTAAACTCATTTTACTATACAGCACTGCACTGTATGTTACAATGAATGCATTGCTAAACAATTATTTTCATCTCCTTTACTGTAAGAGTTGAATACAATTAAATTCAAACCCATTATAAAGTTATGTAAATTGAATTATAAATAAGAAACTAAAAACTTGAGAGCACTGACCCGTCAGGCAAATAGGGACAGACAATGCAATTATTAATTATTAATAGAATTATATAGGGTTTCATATAAAAGTGATACCGAAATATACAGCCATGTTGTTTTTAATCAATATTTGACCATGTTTAAAAATTGCAATAATTCTAATTTGAAGTAATATTGAACACAAAAGCACAATAATTGTAAATTTCAATAAAACTTAATTCACTGTTCAATATCCGGGTGTTTGTTTAGGAATTTTATTCTAAAAATGCATTTTAATATAAATTAAATTTTTATTTAATCACAGCAATGGTGGGCATAAATGCTAATCAAAAGCTTTAAATATTGGCAACAATTTTAGGTCAAATAAAAATTAAACTCATTTTACTATACTGTACTGTAATGTATGTTACAATGAATGCATTGCTAAACAATTATTTTCATCTCCTTTACTGTAAGAGTTGAATACAATTAAATTCAAACCCATTATAAAGTTATGTAAATTGAATTATAAATAAGAAACTAAAAACCAAAAGATATGTCATGTCTTACCACCAACTTTAATGATCGCTAATTCCATTCCTCGAGTATTGATTAAAATGTTAGAGTCTTCCGGAGATTTATAATCCTTTTGGGCAAACATTTTCCTGTAAATAAGACACGCCATCGATTCGGACAATATCTGCTGCAAACGGTTCCAGTGTTGAGACAACTCTTGTTTGGTGATCTCTTTGAAGTTAATGTAACGCAACAAATGAGCCAAATATTGCACTCTTTCGCTGACATTCATTTCAATCCATTTCATGACAATCGATAGGATCTCACTCTCGGAACAGTCGACGGGATAATCGCAGTCAAGAATTCGCGTCAATTGATGGGCAGTGAGTCGCTGTAATTCATTGGTTCGCGAGAATGACAACAGATTGGAACAAATGAAGTGATAAACTCTTTTGGATAACTGCCACAAAGAGTACGTGTCCGCGATTGTGGCCAAATCTCGACAATTGTCGACAATTATCTGTTCCTCCAAATAGTCACTGCAGGCCTGAACCACGTCCTGCATCTGGACGTGAGATGCGGTCGACAACACGTCCTGAATGTTGGACAAGTTGAGGGCCAATCGCGAGGTATACGCGAACTCAAGGATATAGTGAAGACCTGTCACCACAACAACCATTCAATTATTCCTCCACTTACTCAACAACCATTCAATTCATCTCATTATTCCTCCACTTCCGCATACCTTCATTGGTGACTCCATTGAGAACAATCTCCTTCTGTTGTGTCTCCATAAACACCTGATCCGTAAACATGGCTCTAATGAATGGTTCATATGATAAGACAATTGGTTAGACGTGAGAAGTGGTGGTTATTGGGAGTGGTGTACCTGAAGTAGTCGGAACAGGCGGACAGCACCACCCGATGGGCCGAGAATTTGTTGCCATCGGTTCCGCCGGCAATCAAAGTCACGTCAAAGAGTTGTCCATTGGATCGCAATTCATTCAATCCGTTCAGAAGTAATGAGTGATGACTGGATGACTCAAAAACGGCTGTCCCCACACTCGGGTAACGGTTCGGACTCACTCTTCGCATCTCAACACGTGTTCAGCTCATGGATCAGATGGATGTGTTGGATGTGATGATGTGATTGCAGCCAATGTTTGTGCGGACGTCAGAGCCTCAGAGGACAACAAACAGTGAAACACGGATTCAATGCTTTGTTTATCATATGTTGTGTTGACGTCACACTCACTCACTCACAACCAGTGCTTCAATCAATTCAATGCAAACACACATTCATTGAGTGTTTGGTTGAGTCTTGCCTTTCGTAAGAAGTCGTTATTCAATGGACTCTTCACTTACTTTTGGTCATCACTTGTTATAACATAATATATGAACTCATTTTGTAAACGTTTGCAAATTATTGTTATAAATAATGACAACTAGTAGTAGGTATTTCCTAATTTGGACAGTATGCTCTTTTCTCTAATAGATTTCACTTTAGATTTATACTTACAAATTATTACACTTATAAGTTATAACTTTTAACAAATAAAAGTTTAACATGATACAAATTCATGAAATTTAGAAGTTTTTTACAAAAATCCAATTTAATGTTAAGAATCAAACGATTAAAGATGTTTTGTTTCATTATTTGTTTGTAATTATGTTTTGAATGAGTAATTGTAAATTTGATTAAATATTTTAAAATAATTTTTTAATTTTAGTATTACTAAAAATATAAGTTTCATAAGAATAATAAAAATTTTAATATTTATTGTATAAATGTGTTTGATTTATTTTTAGTTATATTTATCATTTTGAAAATACCCAGTTCATATATTAAGAAATTACATTAAATTATATATTCTATTCTAAAATCTAGATTAATGAACATAACTTATTATGAAAACATGAAATATCATACAAATATGAAAACTTGAACAACAAAACTTAGTTTTTAATTTTGTTTCCTTGTTAAGAATTATTAAATGATTTTTTATAACTAATGGTACTTAAGTAACATTAAAGTAATGTTAAAATATGTATTATAGTTATGAAATATTTGTAAAATGAGTGCATAACTCCTACACAACCAAATTGAACACAACCGC